TAAAGGAGATAGGGAGAGCGCTCTTTCTGGCGGAGTTTGTAGACAGGGCTCCTAACCCCTCTGTTTATAAACTTGGTTAATAATATCTCTGATCGAAAATGGAGATGTGCTTTGTAAACTGTCAAGTGTGAAAGCAGTGGGAGGCGTGTTCTGGACTCCTCTGTCCCTGGTCCCCCAGGGAGGGGTACACAGAGCGCCTGGCTCACAGTGTTTCCCCCCCACCCCCGACTGCAGCAGACAGCCGGTGAGGCAATGTGGGAACAGCACGGGGCAGAACGGCCCGTCCGGGACACCCACCCCCCAGCTCACACGGGCCAAGGACCCAGACTGACAAATGACTCAGACACACAAACACCCAGGCGAGGTTTCTGGATCAGGGATGTGTGCCTCAGGAGCTGGGACACCCTGGGGTGGTGGTGGGGCAGGTGCTTGTGGGAAAGGGGCTTCCTTCTGGGCCTCCCCCTTCCCCCAACCTCAATCATCAGCTTCAGTTGTCTGAAGTGATGTCATGGGCCCCATCCCACTTTTAAGCACTTGCTGTATACCAGACTTTTATAGACTTGAGTCTTCCATCTTAAGGGCTTTTGAAGACCCCTGCCTCCATAAGAGGAAATGAGGGCCTCTAGGGGTTAATTACTATTGATGTCACTATTCTCAGGTTTGAGGTGATCTGCCCAAGTCCATGTCACAGTGATGACCACTGGCCCTTCTGCACCCCCAGCCTGCTCCCAGCACCCCATTCTGGGGGTTGCAGAAGCACCTTGTACTGGAATCCCAGCCCCAACTCCCGCCAACTTCCAAACCTGCCTCCAAGCACATCCTGTGCTTCCCTTGGGCTGATCCCAGGAGATGAAATGAGAGTCAGTGAGTAGCCCAGATCCGCAGTATCCAGTCTTTTTTTGGTGGCAGACACTTTACCTCCAATGAAGTCCCCCGAGGGGTCGCAGCCACCTCTGGGGAGGGCTGAGCTGGAGGAGGCCTTTCTCAGCTTCCAGCCAAAATATTGGCTCTGAGCCAATGCTGCCTGGTACCCCCGCAGTAGGTAGCCACCCCCTCTGGCTTGGTCATCAGCACTAGGGCCTCTCCCCTGGGGCTGTCAGTCGTGGGTACGACCCAGGCTTCCCCCTGCCGGCCCTCAAGGACATCCCTCCTTCCCTGTCCCTGTCCCTCGTCCTCTTGTCCTGCAACCTTTCAGTAGCAGGAACCACCCTCGGTTTTTCCCATCTTGCTTGTCCCAAGTCAGGCTCATCCTCATCAGGCCCCTCATGGTCTCCACCTGCACTGTCCACTGACCACTTGAAATCTGACTGGTCCAAGTTGAGATGCACTCTAAGTATAACCTACCCACCAGTTTTAAGACTTAATATAAAAAAGACAAAATATCTTACAAGTAATTTTTCATGTCAGTTCCATGTCCAAATGATAGTATTTTAGATACATTGGGTTAAATAGAGCTTATTATTTGAATTAATTTTACTTATGTTTTCTTTCATTTTATGTGGCTACCAGAAAATTTAAAATCAGAGGAGGGGGAGTTCAGACCTTAATGTCGGCAGCTGGGTCTCACTGAGGCTGAGAGAGGGTGGGTCCGGGGAAGGTGTGTATAAAGGGCTTTCACTTTGCCTTCCTGCTGGTTCTTCTTCCCTGGAGTGTCTGCACTGGAATGCACACTACCCAACCAGCATGCATCTCCTTCTCAAACCTCACTAGGGTTCATATGAGAAATCCATGCTCTGCCTATTAGTATAACCTTGACCTTATTTTCTGTGGGACTGCTTGGGGACATTCACTCACACAGAGGTGTAAATGACTGACAGCAGAGGCCCCCTCACTGTGGGGGACCCCGGTGGGGTCTCGGGTCTGGCTGACACCAAGCTAGCCCAGCAGCCCACTCTTCCCTCTGTCTGGTACAGATCCCCTTGTAGACAGCGCATCCTGCACTCAGTGGATAAAGGGACCATGTGTAGACAAGGAATAAAACAGAAACCACAACTCCCAGGGTTCTGGAGGTCTGTCCACACCACCAGCACTCTGCCCCGTCTCCTGGAGAGCACATCTGTGTTTATCATCCAATTCTCTTGGACAGTGAGGGACATAGAAATGGGTATGTCCTCACATTGCCTTCAGTGATGGCCAGGCCAGTGAGGGATAAGATGAAGTACCAAGCAAAACCCAAGGGGGCCCACACCAAGGACCCTCACAGAGGTCTGGGGGGCAGGGATGCTGAGGGGCACAGACCTGGAGGGAGCTCAGACCAGGCAACCTCAGCAACAAAGGTCCAGCACCCAGTCCTCCAGAATAAGTCCAGCCGCTAGGGAGCAGCTCCACCTGCCAGGAGGAAGGAGAGCGGCAGAGCAGTGGAGCTGGGTCGTGCAGGGCCTTGAAGACCAGACTTAGAAGTCTGAACTTGATCTGGAAGGCAACTGAGGGTTTCTGAGCAAAGCAATGACGTGCTCAGAGCTGAGTGGAGGCTGGCAGCTCTGTGCTTCCTAAATGGTTGCACCTGGAGATGCTGGTGGACAGGGATGGCTTGTCAATGACTTACCTGGATGCCCAGGAGCAAGTGGACAGGTAAAGCTTGTCAGTGATAATGGTGCAGCGAAGCTCCTCCAGCATTTGGTCCACCAGGCCATTCTACATTTTTGACCTTATTTAATCTGCACAGCAATGCAGGAAGGTGGGCATACAGCAATTGAGGACTGTTAGGCTTCTCAAATTAATGAATATTGGTTGGTAACTGTAAGCCCCAGTCCTTATGCATTGAATGTATTGGATAATCAGTTTTCTGGGTTTGATTCTGAATTGAGGCCCCCTTTTAAGATATACAGAAGCCTTACTGGCTGCGAGTTTGTGGAGCCCTTGCAATACAGTATGCTAAGGAGAAGTGGGGATGCAGGTAGGGGACAGGACACCGCGCCCTGGCCCTGTGGGGAGAAGCCTGGCCCAGCAGCCTCAAGTCAATCCCTGCAAGCGCCCCTCCACACCTCTCCTGGATCTCCCTCCCCCACCACCGCAAGTCCTCTCCCGCTGGCTCCAGCCTCTCTCCCGGTCCTGGAATTAATAAAGACTCTGAGCAGACTGTGGTTTGCAAGTCTGAGAGCCGGTTCCTGCCCACGTCACTGCCCGGAGAGGAGTGGGGCCCAGTTGCGCTCCAGCACCCCACTCCTTTCCCCTCCCGGAGAAGGGCAGGCACACAGATGCACTCCCCAACCCCTGACCTGGCCTCCCCTCCCCCACCCCCAGCGGGCACATCCCGGGCACTAAGCCTCAGACCCTAACCTGGAGCGAGCACCTTCTGTTCCCACGACGGGGCGGGCTTCGTATCCATCAACTCCCTGCAAAGCACTCCCAAATAACGCACACAGGAGTGAGAGATGTCCCGGGGTCCCAAGGTGACCCAGCATAGAGCTAAGCCTAATGGCTACACTAAAGCAGGGGTGGTGCTTGCAGAACTAGCAGTAGTCGCAGTAGAAGTAGGACTCGGACCAGCACTGGGTGAGGACAGAGCTCTCTGGATCTGGCAGACACAGTACAGAAATATATGACCACATCTTATTTATCTTTGCAATAACCTCCTAGGCAGGAATATTTATCACCATTTGACAGATGAGGAAACTGAAGCTCTCTGAAGAGGTTACCCTCCTAGAAAGTGCTAGAGACAGAATTTAGTCCTAGGTCCCTCTGAGTTCAATGCCTGGCCTTTGGCATCTCCACTCCTGGCCGCCCCCGCTGGCCCTGTAGACAGCCACAGTGCTCCTGGCTGGAAGAAGACTCACTGAACCCCTTTCCTCAGACTTGTGGCTGCATCCTCCTCTCATTCTCCATCTGGAGGTGGAGAAAAGCTCTCAGAACTTGTAGCCTTGACTTTTCCCCCCTCACAGGCTGTGATGTGGGCAGGTACCCGTTTCCCTGCCCTCTGGCTGCCAAATTTCCCCACGTGGGTGGGGAGGCATAACCCCCTCGTTTCCCACCTCCTCCCCAAATCCCCAGGGTCCACATCCCACACAGGCAGGCAGGAACAGCCCAAGTCCTTGTGGAAATGCTGGTTCCAGCTGTTCCAGCGCAGCGTCGCCCCCTCCTGGCCACCAAAGGAATATTGGTCCCTGTCGTTCTCCTGGGGCAGGGAGAGAACCTGCAATCTGCCAGTCTGGCCTGGATGGTAGGGATGCTCAGCGTTGGGACAGGTGGGGGCCAAGGGATAAAAGGGGGCTGGGCCACCTATCGGTCTGGGTGGGCTCCGCAGTCCCATGGTTTTCCGCAGGGCACCTGGAGATCCAACGTGACCTTCGCCAGACATTGTCATGCACAGGCCTGCGTGGGGCTACACGTTGACCTATGACAAATGGAATCCTTGTGGTGCGACAGGGTCTCCCACATGTCCTCCAGATGCCCCAGGGAACAACACCAACATGATATTAACTCCCAGGCCCTTCTGACTGCAGCCCCTTGGCCTCTGCAGACATGGATCCCAGACCAACCCACCACTCCCTGCCCAGCTTCAGGCAGGAGGCTGCGACCTTAGCCCACAAAGAATGGCGTGCATCCCCTTCCTTCTTCCAGATGCCCCACAGGGCAGCACCAACATGATCTCACCTTCCTGGCCATTCTGCCTATAGTCCCTTGACCTCTACAGACACTGGCCCTGGGCCCTGGACCCCAGATCCGACCACAGCCCCCCTCCCCAGCTTCAGGCAGGGCCTGTGTCTGGACAGGTTGGGGGGTGTCAGGGGAGTCTGGAGGGCTGGGGTGGGGGCAGAGGCGCGGGACAGCTGGCCTGTGTCCCCACACTGGGCCCGGGGCCCAGCCGGAGGGGCGGGGGCCTGGCCACTCAGGCCTTGGCTGGGGCCGGATTTTTGGCCGGGCTGCAGGGCCCTCCCTCCTGCTTCCTCTCCCGAGGGCTGTCCTGGCAGAGGCCCCCCTCGCACTTTCTGGCGGGAACAGGGCCAGCAGTGAAAGAACAGCCACAGAGGGAAAGCGGGAGAGAGATGGGGGAAAACTCTGTGTGCGTGTGTGTGCGCGCGCGCATGTGTGTGTGTTTTAAGGAAAAAAGCCCACAGTCCAGTCCAGTCAGACCCAGCCTGGGAGGCTTGTGAGCCGGCCTTTCGTAATTGCCCCCTCCCCGCGGCCCCCTCCCCGAGGCCTCCCCCTTCTCCCGCCCTCCCGCCCGCCCTCTCTCCCTCCCTCCTTCCCTCGCAGCCGACGAGGCAGCAATTACGCTTTGGGGATAAAACGAGGCGCAGAGAGCGGGCTGGGGCATTTCTCCCCGAGATGGCGGGTCTGACAGCTGCAGCCCTGCGGCCAGGAGTCCTCCTGCTCCTGCTGTCCATCGTCCACCCCTCGCAGCCTGGAGGTAGGCCTCACCCTGTTCCCCTAACTGCCGGCAGCCCTCGGGCCTCCGGGTCAGGTGGCTGGAATGACGGAGGAGAGGGCGCCCTTCCACCCCACCATCCCCCAGGGGGTCCCAGGCAGGAGCCCCTCAGCCACTGGATGCTTGGAACTGTCCCTCCCGGGAGCCAGCCATGCCGAACAGAAACCTGTCACACGATCGCCCCACGACTAAGGATGGTCCCAAACAAGCGCCGGTTTTACTGCCTGAGAGAGCTGAGGGGCCCTGCTCTGTCCTGGGGGCTCTCCCAGTCTAGGGGTCGTGATCACACTGGGAAGGGCTGGCAGGATCCCATCGGGTCTGTGGGCACCGGCAGTTTGCACACCTGTGGACCCAGTGGTTATGTGCATGTGCCCTGGGGGCGGGGGACCTGGGTTAGGGGCCAGCTCAGCGGCAGTGAGCTATCTGACCTCCCCAGGTTCCTTGTCCCCTGGAGAGTCAGCACCCCACTCCAAGGAAAGTCAGGGTTAAGTTGATTATAGGGTTGCGTGTTGGAAAGCTGCCGCTGTGGTCTGTCCCTGGTGAGGAGGGCTGGGACTTCTGAGCATGTGTATACATGTGTGCATATGCGAGTGTTACTGCTATTGCACAGGTGTGCATGTGTATATGCCCAAACATGTCACCTAATAGAGGGAGAGGTTTCTGGGAGGGGATGAATGTTCACAGGCTCATCTCTGGACAGGTGTGTGTGTGTGTGTGCGCGCTCACAAGCACGCTTGGGAGGAGGGTGTTGTAGAGTATGTGAAAGTGCCTATTAATATGCAAAAGTCAGCCACCCAGCAGGCATGTACACATGGGAGATCTGATGTCCAGGTGTGTCACTGGGTGTGGTTTGTCACTGTGCATATGAGTGTGTCTAAGTGTGTGTGTGTGCATGCTGTGGCACACAGACTAGGAAAGGGAAGCTGGGGAAGGTATCCCTTCCCTGGCAGAGGGAATGTGGTGGGTGGCAGGGGCTGGAGTGAACCTCAGAGCACTCATGGACCACCTGGCATGTTCCCTGCCATGGGCTTTAAGGGTGCCTCCCCTGGGGCTGCTACACACGTTGCGGGACACTGGGAATGGCCCGCCAGGGGTCCCTAAAGGTGCCCCTGGCCATGGGAAGAGAGAGGTGTAGTCAGGCTCATGAGCCTTTGGTGGGACAGCCTGGGTGGGGTCTGTTTTCCACGAGACTCCTCCTTGCCATGAGAACCAGCCCTTGCGGAGGGGCACTGGGTGGAGCAGGGCCAGGCTGGAGGGCTGGAGTAGGGGGCTGGGCAGGAACAGCTGTTTCCGTGAGATTGACTGGCTGGGAAGGACAGCCAGGAGCAGGAGCTTCCTGTGCAGAGGTCAGGTCTTGGGTCTGGACGAGGCCGAGGGACGTGAACACCATCAAGTGGGGCCCAGCAGGGGCAGCGAGACAATCCCAGAGGATCAGCTGCCCCAGTGCCTGAGACTAGCAGCTCTGATCCTATCTGAACCTCCTCCCCTGATTTTGGCCCCTGAACACCTGCCTTCCTAGACAGAGCTCCCACTGAGAGCAAGACAGTCCCCACAGGATCCCTGAGAGTAGAGAATTATTGTCTACACTTTACAAATGGGGAAATTGAGGCTCAGACAGGCTAAGGCAGACCCAGGGGGTTAGTACCAGCCAGCTCTCTGCCCTGGGCGAAAGGATGAGGGGTGGGAGCCGGGTTCTGATCAGCATCCGGGGAGGGGCAGGCCTAAGGCTGAGCACTCTGGGGTGGGCTTGCCCTAAGAAGAATGCATCCTCAGTGACCGGGCTAAATGCTCCGCTGGCCCTATTCTTTCTTTGCAAACATAAATCTCAGCTCTGTCCCAGGTGGTAGAGTAGCTGGGTCCAAATAAGGGGTGTATGAACTGATGAGGTCTTCTGGGGTTTGTGCCCAGAGCCTCCCAAAGGAAGTCGAGAGAGATCGGGAGTGGGAGGGGCCCTCCACCCACACGCACGTGTGCACGCACCTGCCCAGCTGTCCTGGGGGAGCCCAGCTTCCTCCCACCCCAGGAAGATGTCCCTGTCATGGGTTCCCCAGCTCCAAAGAACCGTGTTGCCAGTGGAGACAAGAAAGAGGCATTCCAGGAAGACTCTGTGATGGAAAGGATTGTCTAGACTCGTTTAAGATGGGTTAAAAGTAGCTTTGAAGATCAGCTGCCCCAAACCCTCATGCCATTTTAAAAAAGAGAGAGAAATTAAATCAGGTATAATTCTCCCCCCAAATTCTAGACATTTTATCATTTTGTTTTTGGGTTTTGGGGTTTTTTTGTTTTTTGTTTTTCCTGATTTTGGAACTGAAGATGATTTGGAACAGGGACTTTCAATCCTGGCTGCATATTGGAATTACCCAGGGAACTTGAAACAATTCTGATGTGGGGTCCCACCTAAGACTTTTTGCTTTATTTGGTCTAGGGAGGGACCCAGACCTGTAGGTCTTGTAAAGCTGCCCCAGTGTCTCCGAGGAGCCTCCAGAACCTCGGACCTCGGGTTTACAGGTTGATCCTGCCCACTGCGTCTGTTGGGGTGGAGGCCGGAGGGCAGACATACCCCGGGGAGGAAGGGGACAGAGTCACTCACTGGAGGATGGATTGTTATTGAAAAACCCTTGGCAGCCTTTCTCCATGCAAACAACAAACTGCTTCGTGTGGTCTTATCTGCTCCCCAGGCCGGCCCCCTGGACTTGGAATTGGCAAAGCCCTCTGCCAAGGCCCGCTGGCCCGCTGGCCCGCTGCTCACTCCCAAACAGCCATCTCCCAGATCTTTGAACTTGGAGCCCTGGGCCTAGGCAGAAGGCCCTGCATGTAACTGGGGTCAGCTGTGGGTCCTGGGCCAGGCCCTTCATCTCTCAGGCTCTTGGTTTCCCCAGCTGTAAAATGCAGAGGAACTTCTCTGCCCTGCTTATCTCTTAGGGCTGGTGGGAGGCTCCAGCAATGTAACACTGCAAAAAATGCATCAAATAAGAGAACCGTGGGAATGTGAATTTTAAAAGCCATATATTCTCTTATTCAGAATTTGCTAGCTTGGGCTGATTGACCCTGGTAATTAGTGCACATTTATAAGTTTTAATTTTCCCTCTTGCTACTCATGCCACATTTTGTCTGGTGGAAGGGGACCACACGTATAAACAGAGATGCAGTGATGGAGGAAGCAGACAAGACTAGGGGAGGGGGTGGCTCAGAGGAGTCCCAGTAAATCCAGGAAGGCTTCACAGCAGAAGCAACATTTGAGTTAGACCTTGAAAGAAAGGTAAATGTTTGAGGGGCTTTGGTGGATGAGAGGTGAGCCTCAGTCTCTGGGGTTCTGGGAGGCAGAATTGGAGAGACAGAGGGCAGATTCTATCTCAAAAGGAGGAAGATTTCTCTGCAGGTAGGACTGACAGCATCAAGAAGTGGTGATTTTCCTGTCACTGGAGGCGTGCAAGCAGGAACACAAGAGGATGTTTGCAGAAGGAATTTCAGCCCAGGCCAGGAGACTGTTATGATCCCTGAGTGTCTAGGATCATGATTCTAAGATGCAAGAGACAAGTTCCACCCTGGGCTAGCCGGAGAAACAAGCCAAACCCACATAAAACAAGACAAGTATGTTCTGGGCCAACTGCTTTGGGCCAGCTGAGCGGTGAGAACCACAGGCTCAGAGAAGGCGGGGGCAGAATCTGAGCTCAGTCCTGGTGGAAGGGTAGGACTTGGAGAGAGGAGAGGGCATTCCTGGCAGAGGCAACTGCTCAGGCCAAGGAGTGGGGTGGGAAAAAGAATGGCCCACTGGGGCATGAGAGGAGGCTGCTGCCTTTTCAAAGGCCCTTGATTGACCACTGCCTTGTTCTGTTCTCACCTCTCCTACACTTGAAGAGAGGAGGCCGGGCAGGGATCCTTTACACCCACTAAGCCTTCCCCATTTCCTTGGTGCAAAACCGGGATCAGAGTTTCTGGCTCCCTAGGCTGCCGTGGTTCAGGCATGGAGTTTGGCAAACACTGTTGATATCTGAATCATGGGGATGGAGAGTAGGGAAAAGAAAGCCAGGGAGAGATGGGTGGGTGCTGGGGAGAGGGGAAGCAAAGAGGAGCTGGCAGGCCCAGGAAGGGACACAGCGGGGACAGAACACCAGGAGAGGAAGTGGAGGTTAAGGCTAGACCAGCCGGAGATGGGGAGACCCTCAGGCCGTTTGAGGAGGGAACAGGTTGGACCAGACCCACAGGCAACATCCTTGCCTCCCCTCCACCTAATTCATCCATCATTTATTGAATACCTGCTGTATACCTGGCTCCAGGCCATGTACTGTGCAGTGAAGTAGAAACAAAGTGTCACTTTTTTTTTTTTGAGCTGTGACTGTGTGCCAGGTCCAGGGCAGGACAGGTCTCTCACTTGAACTCTTTGACAACTCACAACAATCTTGCAAGGCAGCTGTTATCAGCGCCACCTTGTTAAAAAGGAAACTGAGGTTCAGAGAGGTTAAGTGACTTGCCTGAAGTCACACAGATCATATGAAGTGGCACAGCCAGGATTAGAGGCCAGATGGGTCTGTCCTGAGCCCCCTTGCTCCCTCCACCCACCACATTGTTCCTGCAGTCTGCTCTGGACAGGGAGAGCAGTGCGGAGAGGAGGGGGGGTAGTGGGAGGGAGAGTAAGAGGAGGAGGGAGACAGGCCCAGGCAGAGAAAGGCCTGGAGCACAACAGGGAAAGGCACACAGGAGATAGTGCTCAGAGCTCAGAGCTGGAGGCCCGAAACAGAGAAGCCATCAAAGGCCTGGGCGGGCCATGTATGCTCTTGGCAGCTGATGACAGGGCCAAAGGCTCATTCCCAGCAGGCCCAGCCTCCTGGGGCCACTGCTCTGAGCCCCCAAAGCTCTGACCAGATTGCTTAGACACTCCAGGCCTGGACTGCAGTGCCTGGGAGGCCTCAGGCCCTGGGGGGTGGTAGCACTGGGGCTTTGGCATGGGGTGCCCATGACAGCTTGGAATCCCCAACCCTGTTGGGCCGTGGCTGAGGCTGACAGGGCCCTGGGGCCAGCAGGCCCAGCTGTGCAGCACAGCCAGGCCACAGAGGCCAGATGTCTGCTGGACACACTGCAGAGCTGCCCAATGCTGTCCTCAAACCCTGTCTGTGCCTCGCTCAGCAGGATGGTGTTGGGCTTAGGCTGGGACACCGGCAAGGCTGCTTGTTGAAGCTGGGACCATCCTGTGGTGCTGGAGTCAGGGCCTGGTCTGCACCACGTTTGTCTGTTGCCATGACCACGCACAGGCTGGGTCTGGGGCCCAGCTTCACAGTGTTCCCCAGTGAGAGCTTCACTGGTCCGTGGGGACTGAACTCGTGATCTTGGCTGGGCAGACGGCCCCTAGCCTGGCCAGTGAATTAGCTTTTCCTTAGGAAACTATTCACTTTGCTCATTCATGGTGTCCCCCTCCGGGCCTCGGCGCCTCCTTAGACAGCTCTGTGTCAGACAGCCAGAACCCCACCCAACCACAGCTGCCCAGTGGCTGAGGACGCTGACCTCACGCCATCCTATCAGTGTGGGAATGGCTGCTCTCTTACTGGCAGCAGCCGCATTTCCTTAGCGCTTGCTGTCACGGCCCAGCCTGCCCTCCCACAGCTCTGGCCCCTGCCCTTGCCACTCAGGGTTGGAGGGGACTTGGCTGCCCGGGAAAGGTGCTCAGACACAGCCACCTGCCAGGCCCTCTCCAGGTAACGCAGTGCAAACCATTATGCTCAGAGGAGTGGCCTGGTTTGAATCCAGGCTCCGTCTCCTTCCAGCTGTGTAGCCCCCGGCACCTCCTTTAACCTCTCTGAGCCTGATTTCACATCTGTTAAAAGGAAGATACTAATTGCTGCCCTTCCAACCTTACCAGGCCATTTTGAGGCGCATGGATGAGAAAATGCTTTGTAAACATAAATTGCTAAGCCGACATAATTGCTTTATAGACATACAATATTATTGTCATCATCATTATCTTTATTCTTAGCATGTTTTTATTCATTCTGGCTAACTGAGGACTCTACCTGCTTCCTTCCAGGGGTCCCAGGGGCTATTCCTGGTGGAGTTCCTGGAGGCGTCTTCTACCCAGGTAATGTACATGAAATTTTCACACGCCCTGATAAGACAAATGGTGATTATGTTCATAGGACATGCACATTTTGACACTGCAAAAAGGAAGAACATTGGCACGCCCACCACGGAGGACCCATAAGTCAGTCCTGTTTTAAAAAGCAGGACTTACAGGACACTGTTTTACATCTATTAAGAGCATATATTTTCTGAAAATTGAAACACAGTGCTTGTGAGGCTGTAGGAAACGGGCCACTTCCACACATCCCTGCTTACAGTCTTCGAACTGTTAACCCTACTCTTGAAAATCCATTCGAAGGAAATAATTGAAAAGAAGGGAAAAAGAATCATCTGCACTAAGTTTCATAGGAATGTTACTTGCCAAAAGGCAAAACAAGAAACCCCCTGATTAAAGTGTGTGATTAAGTAAACTTACATTACTAAAAAGTATTAATATGTTATCTGTTGGGTCATAAAAAGCAAGGACCAGAGGGGAGGGTATAGTTCAAGTGGTAGAGTGCATGTTTAGCATGGACAAGGTCCTGGGTTCAATCCCCAGTACCTCCTCTAAAAATAAAAAAACAAATAAACCTAGTTACCTTCCCCTACCCACCTCTGCCCAAAAAAAAAAAAACTAAAGAAAAAATCACTCTTCAAAAAAAATTTTTTTTAACCAATCTGTTTTAAAAATATAATAAATTATGTGCAGATGGAGACTGGGAGCCCCCCTGATAAGAAAACAGGCAGAATGGTAACTCAATGGCATTGAAAGGGGAGCATTATATTCTTTTAGAAAAAAGCATAATGTTTCAAAGTAGACTGAAAAAATCAAAACTAGTACTTACTTTTGAGTATTTGAGTGTTTAGACTCGACGTGGGTGTGAGGCACAGACCCTCTCAGATACACACAGGCACAAGACTATTTGCCTGATGAGACAGATGAGGAAACAAAGGCTCGCAGAGGTTAAGCCTGGTCCGAGGCCACGTAGCTAGGAAGTGATGGATTTGATAACAGATGATGGATGGCTTTCCAGCAGAAGTACTAATGTTTCTCTCTCTCCCTCTCAATCTCTCTCTTGCTCTCTCTCTCTCTCTCTCTCAACACAGGAGCTGGTCTAGGAGGCCTGGGAGTAGGAGGTGAGCTCAGCAACTAAACTTGGTCCCTCCGTGATGGGGTCTGGGTCTCATTCTATTCCACGCATGTCCTGAGGCCTCAGAACTTCATCAGGCCCAGGCATCCAGGGCCCCTTCATTTCACAGACCAAGCATCCAGTAGGGAGGGACTTGTCTGATAACTGGAACCCACTGGGCCCCTAAGCCCCTCCCCCCAGCCTCTTTCCCTGGTGGCCCCTGCCTTCTTTCATATTTCTTCTGATCCTCAGTAATATCCCTGCAAAGCCAGCAAAGCAGGAACCATCATCTCCTTCAGAGGCTGAGAAACAGTCTGAGACAGGGTGTCCCAAAATCAGGGCTGGAGCTGCTTGCCTCCCAAGTGTCTGGATGCTGGGCTCCCAGCAGCTCCCTGTGCAAAGGGGAGGACCATTCCTGACAGCCCTTTTAGGACCTGGGGGGGTGAGACCCAATGCCCTGGGGGGTTAAATGGGAGGACAGGTGGGCTGAGACTCCCCATTTACTGCCATCTCTTCCCTCTGCAGCACTGGGCCCTGGAGGCAAACCACCCAAGCCAGGTAAGACCCCTGGCCTCAGAGCACTGAGTGAGGGCGGGTGGCAGGGGAAGGAAGGGGTCCACAGAGCTATGAACCCAGCCAACAGACAGGAAGGGGGAGGGAGGTGGCAGGTGGCAACAGTCCCTCCCCCAGTCAACCTCCTCTCCACCAGGCTGGGGTCTCGCCCCAGGGCTTCCAGGGTCAGAAGGCTGGAGGCAGCTTGATGTCCTCCCTGTGTGAGGGCTGTTAGGTACCTGCCCTGCAAGTGTCTATATGCCCAGCTGCCCAGAGAGTCCCCTCTGTACAGAGTCTCAGAAATAGCCCTGGTGCTGGGGTCAAAGGTAGGAATTGATGTTTCAGTGGCCAGCAAGCCTGTGAATGTCATTCTGGGGCTCAGACACAGATGGTGGGCCCCAGACTCTGCCTAAATTGCCCCTGACCCCAGAGCAAACCCTCTCTAACTCCAGGTCAAGATCCTAGATATCTCTGACCTTGAGGACTATCTGAGCCCTTATCCTGACCCCAACCTTGACCCCAGACCAAGCCCTGAACTTAACCCTAAGCTGCACCCTGACCCTGTTTCCAGATCAGTTTCCTTCCTGATCCTAGGCCCCTTCCAGCTGTGTCCAGACCATGGAGTTTTCCAGTAAGAAGACATGGCTGGATCTGTCCTGGCGTTGCCCGTGGGGCCCAGATCTGCCACTAGGGTCCCATCAGCTCCCTAGGAGAGAGGGAGGGCGGGTCCCTCCGGGAAACACTGGTGGATAAGGAGCAGGTGGAGGACGTGCTAAGCGGGCCATAAATCCTCTCAGCATGAGATACTCCACATGTAGCCTTGGCGCCCCCCCACGCTGCTCTGTGTCTCCCTGGCTCTGAAGCCCAAGACTCCAGGACAGTTTGCATGTCCAACAGCTCTTACGAAATCCCCATGTTCGATGATTCAAGTGCAAATGAATCTACAAGACCCAGATTCCCCTTCCCTGCAAGCCCATCTGGGTTGTGAAATTCCAGGGCTGGGTCCAGGCAAGAGAGACGCAGGAGGGCAGGAGGCCTGGGCAAGGGGTTTGCTGGGGTCTCTAGGGGTCTGCAAGGCTGGAAGCCCTCAGGATTCACTGCTTATCCCACCAGAACCTGTTTCCTGTCTTCCTGGAGGGGTGAGCAATCTTAAGGGGGTCTTTGATGGCAGAGAGAATGCAGGGAAAGGCTAGGTAAACAAAGGCGTGGAATTAGGATCGTGCTTAACTGCAAAGACTCGAACAGTGGAGGTCGTGACTGCAAAGCTGGGGGGGATTGGTTGATCCCATTGGCAGCAGGGGACACATGGCAGGTTGTGATTAAACACCGAGGGAAGACTGAGACAACTGCATACAGTTATAGTTGCTAAAGTGAAGTTTTTATTAACGAAAGATTTAGTTTAGACTTCTGAAAGAACTTCCAGCTTGTGGTGAAGAAATAGACCAAGAGGAAAGTCAGAGCATCTCCTGATGAAAAATGGCTGAATTCCATGAGGACCTCCCTGGGGTCATCTTTCAGTCTTAGGACTCTGGACTACAAAGGCTTGGGCAGGCACACGGTGCCCCCCACCCCAAGGCAGCTACCCACATCCAGCAGTGGGGACATTCATCCAGGCCTGCCAAGCGGGCTAGAACTGGTCACAGGCAGCACATGTCATGCTTGGGAACAACTAATCCCTTGGCCAGTAGAGGATGGGTGGCCTGGCACTGGGCCTCAGCAGGCTGGCCCTGCCTGGGCTCTCCGCGGGGGACCAGGCAGCTGGGAGCTGGCACCACCCACACCCCCAGCATGGGCTGGAGGCCAGTCGCCCACCCGAGAGGACAGGAAGGAGAGGGAGGGACACCCACTGGGTGCCCTTGCAGGTTGCAGACACTCAGTGCTCTCTGCTGGTCCCAGGAAGGTCGGGGACATGCTGGCCATTTTGTAAGTGGGGAAACTGAGTCTCAGAGAGGTGAAGTGACTTGCTCTTTCAGGCAAGGAGTAGCTTGGGGCAGCAGGATTTGAATCCAGAACTCTATGACTCCAGGGAAGAGAGAGGGTTGTGCAGGCCAGACCCCTGGGCTCCCAGCCATGGTCAGCTCCTCACCCCCCTCTCCTCCTTGCCAGCTGCTGGACTCCTTGGGGCAGTTGAGCTAGGTGAGCCCACAGAAAGGAGGGCGAGCAGGAATGGGGCTGGTCATGCCACAGGGTGGCCCTGGGACCAGAAGGCTATAGGGGAGCCTGGGAAAAGGGCAGATGTCGGCAGAGGGGCTGCCTGTCCCCCCCCCCCCACCACACCCACCCAGCCTCTTCTCACTTCCTGTTTGGTCCCCATCTTCTTCTCCCAGCCTTTCTGTGGTCAGGAAAGGCCTGAGTGTGTCCCCAGCTCTGTTGGAGCTCAGGAAACAGGCCTGGCTTGAGAGAAACCTCTGATAGAGCTGGGGAGGGGCTGGGCCTATAAAGCTGGGACGTGAACCCAGGGACGCCCTAGGCCCAGCCTGACCACAGCGCACCTGCCTGGAAGGGAGACTGGCCAGAGTTAGAGACCCATTTTACAGAGGGCTGGCTGAGTTTCAGACGGCCAGCTCACATAAGCAGGAAATGAGGGCAAGGACCACACCCAGTGAAAACCAGGTGGACCCTCCAGGGATCAGCAGGCCCCCACGTTTAAGGTCAGTCCCCAGAGAGGCCGCCCCTGAGTCAGGATCCTGGTGGCCAGGACTGGCGCTTGTGGGAGAGATTCTCACATAATTGGAAACAAACCCGGCACGGTTGTGAAGTCCAACCTGATTGCCCATCGGTCCTGGCCAAAGCCGTGGAATGTCTCCTGGAGGGGAAAAAGGAGAGATAGGGCCCAGATGTGGGAAGGAGAGAGCCAGAGGGACCCATTTGGTTTTTCATAAACATTTTAGCATCTGTCTGCAGACAAGGAGGCTTCCGGACTGCAGGGCAGGCTAGATGGATGGACAAAAGGGATTCTAAATACAGGGGAGAGGGCGTGAGCTGAGCCAGGGGACCTTTGCAAGGGAGCTGGAGAGGCCTGGGGTGGGGACTAACCTGGGAGCAGGGCAGGGCCTGGCCTGGGTGAGATCTTTCTCGCAGACTTTGCTCAACTCCAGCCCTCAAAGAAAGCCCTGCTGGGTCCCCCGTTAGTTGGCAGGCCTTCTAAGGGAAGCGAGGTCAGAGCTTGTTGTAGGAAGTCAGCTTGGGATTGGCTCCCAAGTACCAAAGGCTTGAGTAGAGTTTAGGGGCCTGAGTGGCTGCACTGCATGCCAGTCCCAGCGTTAGCAGCTTCCTGCCCCTCCCCCACGAGACCCTCCCCCC